TTTTTTTTTTTCTTAACATGTACCTCTGAAACAAATAATGCAATATATGTTAAAATAAGCAATTTTAAAATAAGAATCAATCAAAGGGAAAGAGAGATAAGGCATCAATAATAATAGTCTATCAATATTTAGGTTATTCTAAATATTCCATTCTAGTTATCCCCCATTCAATTCAATTCAACAAATATTTACATTATGTCTTCATTTTGGTTGAGAACAATACTACTGATTTGCCAGGCCCATCATTCCTTATCTGTAAACCTTGGAGCCAAGTATGTTTTGGAATTTAGAAATTGTTGGACTTCAGAAAGTGAATCAATATATAAATATCCACATCAAGTGGAATAAAGGCAAACTTTAAATAGCCTAACACCAGTTTAAGCAGTTTTGGCTTTAATTATTTTATTATTATTATTATTATTATTATTATTATAACTACTACAGAATGAGATCAGTCAGTATAGGTTTGTCTCTAAATCAAATGTATAAAAACATGCTGAAATTTTTTGTTTTGTTTTTGATTTAGTGATAGCAGATCTGAAGTTGCAGACCTCTAGTTGCTTTTCCTTACGGTATTGGTTCATCAAGCACAGTGTTCTCTTTCATTGAGTCTCTTGTTGCACCTGTTTAGTGAGAAGACAACTGATGCTCTTAAGAGCCTCCTCTAGTGATGGCTTTGTTCCCTCCGGCACAACTGCTGGAGTAGAGAATGTTTGGGATCTTTGTCTGATTCAGATGAGCTAAAAACTACTACTCTAAATTAGAATAGGTGCTTTACTTATCTACACGTTTAATCCTTATGTTAATCTTATTACATGGTGTATTTACTGCCCCCCCCCAATTTTAGAGATGAGAAGACCAAAGCACAGATAATGTTGATAAATAGCCTTAAATCACACAGTTATTTAGAGTTCGATGGAAGATTCTGACCCATATGGTCTAACCCTAATGTCTGTGCCCTTATCCATTGCACTCGTTTGTTTACAATGGTTTTATCTCTGAACAGCCTTGATCGGTACTTTCTCCGTAGTCATTTTCTTCCAGAAACTTGGTTTCTTACTATCTTTAGTTGGATATGCATCAGTTTCTAGAGGTCTTTAATGGCAAATGAATTAACAGGTATGCTGAAACTTATTTTTATGACTCCCTACAGTTGGGCTATTTGGGGGTGGCCTTAAAAAATATTTATTTATTCAATAAAAGCATATCCTTGAGTTAACTTAGAATAAATATCATGGATGCAGTAAACCATATCACAACACCAACTCAAGAATATGCTCCACACGTTGAGGTTACATTTAATTCCTTGAACTATGTTAAGACATATTCATAAACATGATACCAAGCTTTATTTTAGATATTGAAGTTTAATATTTACTTGTCTCATGTGAATTTTTTAATTTATTACATTTAAAATTGGATGAAATTTTCATGAATACCATGGATTTTTATATAGCTCACAGCCAAATCAAATATAATAAAAAATAAAATATTAAAATCTTTATGAAAAAAATCTTATAAACCTTATTTTATTATCTTTTTTATCAATAATCTACCATGTATTATTTATGAAGCTACTATAGATCCTGTAGGAATAAGACAATGCAGAAATTAAGAAATACTGAAGCAAACAACCTAGTTAGTAGAAGACACTATAACTCTTCACATACTTTTCATAAATACAATTTTGAATAAAAACAAATTGACTAGATGAGGGTTTTTCATAAGGTTATGCTTTGGTTTCCTTTATACCTACATAGTTGTCATTATATTTTTTAAACTATTAAATATTTTAAAGGGTGAGGAAAACAGTTAATTTTTACCTTTTATAGGAAAAGCAATTCATATTTAAACAGGACTTGAGGGGCGTCTGGGTAGCTCAGATGGTTAAGCATCTGCCTTCAGCTCAGGTCATGATCCCAGGGTCTTGGGATAGAGCCCCACATCAGGCTCCTGGCTCAGCAGGGAGCCTGCTTCTCCCTCTCCCTCTGCCTCTCTCCCTGCTCATGCTCTCTCTCTCTCTCTATCTCTCTGTGTCTCAAGTGAATAAATAAAAAAAAATCTTAAAAAATAATAAATAAATAAATAAATAAACAGGACTTGATTTTCAGTAGCTATTATTATGTGCAAGATTATTTTGACATCTTCCATATATTTCAGGGCAAAACCATTGGTTCTAAGTTTAACATGATCTGGTGTGCAATGTTATATTAGATGTCTTAAATATAATTACTATGATGAATAGGTATCCTTCTTAAATGAGCAAATAAGCAAACTTTCTGCATAGATAAATTTTATAAAGAGAACATAGAGATTCTGGAAATTCATCAAATGTATTGCAATCAAATAATGATAGAAACATCCAGCATGAGTTAGGATAAAATGGGAACTCTAAAAGATCAGATGCCCTTTGAATGATATTAAAACTGCACTCACTATTTTGCAATATTTTTATATTATAACCCCAAACTTCAAATCAACTTTACTTTATTCCAGCACCTTTGGAGAATTTCTCTACTGTAAGTCCTGCAACAACTTCAGGTCAGTACTTAAGGCATTTTTAAAAATATAACTCAGTGAGCATCAAACTCCATGACATTAGAAAAGGATTTTTTTTCATAGCCCTGAGACATTTATTCTTCATATTAACATGTAAGAAGTTTACATTTGGTTAAGAGCAATGTAGTTCATAATCTTGCAGATTTTATAATGCCTAAGTTATACATGCCAAGGACATACATTTCCAATTTCAACGTTCCTTTCATATTTTAAACTCTATATACATTCGTATACATGAATGGTGTGTGTGAGTATATGTGTGGGTGTGTAACATCCTAAAATGTGGCTCTAATCCTTAAGCCTTCGAGATGAATCCATAACATTTGTAAGGTCACTAGGAATAAAAAAAAAAATTTAAAGGATAATCAAATGATGACTTGTAGAACATATTGCCTTCTTGAGAAAGGAGAATCCAAAACTTAATGTGAACTTTGCTTTATTCCAGCATTTCGTTATCCCATCTTTCTAACTACAATTGGTTATTACTGCTCATAAAATTTATTTTTTTTGTTTTTTTTATTATGTTATGTTGATCACCCTACATTACATCATTAGTTTTTGATGTAGTGTTCCATGATTCATTGTTTGTGTATAACACCCAGTGCTCCATGCAGTACGTGCCCTCTTTAATACCCATCACCAGGCTATAAAATTTAGAACTTCACTTTGTCTCACCAAGATCACACCACTATCAAAAGAGTTTGTTTTGAGAAATTATCAAAAATTCTAAAATTAACCTATCTCAAAGTGTAAAATTATTATGTTGTAGAAAAATAATTTAAATTGAAGTCAGGAGCCCTAAACAGCAATCCTGGCTCTGCCAACTTCCAGAAACACTGGGCACATCTCTTTACTCCTCTGAAAATCTGCTTTCCATAAATGGCAAATGATAAAATTTTTCTAAATATTTCAAAGCCATTCCAAATATCAAATGTATACATAAATAATTTTTAAAAGTATAAAGATATTACTTTTGGTACTATCTATTATCACGAGCATTTTTATAATATTGGAAAGATCTACATTTTTTTAAAGTATCTACTTGGGCCAGGTACTACATTTTACCAGCATTGCCTCATTTAATTTTCAGAATGATCCTGTAGAGATGTAATATTTTTTCCACTTAAAAAGAAATAAGTAGTAAGCAGTGTGCCCAGCGTCACACAGCTATTAAGTGTCAAACTTAGGAATTAAAAGGAATTCCTTTGGACTCCAAAGCCCATGGTCTAAGCATATCCCAAGCTTCTGTTTCAAATAACATCAGATTAACCTAGAACATTTAAGTCCACAACCATTAAGAAATTAATGAATCCTCATGTTTAGTTGTTGATCATTGAATAACATCATCTTCTCTGTTTAAAAAACAAAAGATGACTTAAAATCTAAAAACCTCTGCTCTACAATTCTAAAAATCAGTGAAAACATAAAAGATTTATTTTAGATCCAGATAAAAATGACATATCCTTAAGCTAATAGATAATCATAATTTACAGTAACTTTAAAAACTCTCAGTTAAATACTAAACAGAGAAAATATACAATAAAGTTCTGATAATCAGTTTAAAAAGGTAGAAATTATCTTAATGCCATTTATTTTTACAGGCAAGCTAACAACCAGCGGTCCTCTGTCAACTCCGGGTCAGTATTAATAATTTTATTTATACCTTTTTAAAAGTTTTCACTTATGTTTTATTTTAGGCTCTTAAAAATTCTCTGCTAACACAGCAGTTAAGATTACTCCTATTTTTAGGATAAGAAAATTGGAGCATAAAAGTTTGCAGCTTAAGCCTAAGATTTCACCAAAAGTGAGCAATGTATTTAAGGCTAATGCCTGGATTAGCTGACCTCACTCCATTTCTCTGTTAGAACCCTGGTTATTATCTTTTGCTAAGAGTGCCACCAATAGGATCAAAATGTTTGCCAGAAGGGATGAAGGTTTCATCAGATGTGAAGGGTTTTTTTTCTTTGATTATTCGGTTGGCATACAAGGTAGAAATGCTTGCTCTCTCACGATATAAGTAGGCAAACCAGCACCGAAATAGGCTTGAATTCATTCATTCAACAAGTTTTCATTAAATGGCTACTCTGTGCTAAGTCCCAAAACATAACTTTGATGTGTCAATTTCTCTGGATTCCTACTAATTGTCTACTGTGCTTTTGTCTATCTGCTTGTCAACTAAATTGCCTTTTCTGGTCCTATCTTAATCTTCATGTTGAATGGCCTGGGTGTGTCCCTCATCTCTTCAGATAAACTCCATAAAGGTAATATTGTATAGATCTTCAGCTCCTAAATTAATGCTGCCATTTTTATGTTATTAGAATCCATATCAAATGTAATATACATACAAGGAAAGAACATTTGTAAAACTATAAATGCCTTTCTCTGTAAGACTTAATAATTCTTGAATAAAATGGTTGGCGTGATGTTTGAAACCAAAGGGATAAGTAAATCATTAATCAAAATCCTTTATGAACCAATAAAGCCTACCTGGAGTTGTGTTCAGGTGTTAACCCATACAGCAATCCAGCATACTGAAAAATAAAACTGTTCTTGATCACACAGTCTCCTCTCCAATGTGGAAAAATTACAGCATTTAAAACCACCTTTGAACACACTTTCAAAAAAAGTGCTTTTCGGATTGATAATGGCTAGTTCCTCCAGTCTAAAAATAAGCCGAAAAAGTAATTTTAACATATTTTGAGAAATATCATTCTCAAACTTTGAAAGTCAGCAACAAATATCCAAATTAGTGCCTGTTTTCTATGTGTCTATTGATTCATCGAGTGATTCATACAAACCACAGTACTGAAGACATCTCAAGTGTATAAAATGTCCTAAGAAAAATATGTGGAATGATTTAGAGGGGAAAAAAAAATCAGTGTGAAAGCGAGAAAGTCTTAGACTTAAAAAGTCAGTGTTTCTCCCTTACTATCCTGAGGACAAACTTGTTAAAAATGTAAGAAGTGGCTGAACTTTATGCCAGTTTCCTCTGGCCAGAGGAGATGGTGAATGGGGGGCAAAGAGCATGAGAGTGGTAGTTCACCCATACTTTGCTCTCATGGGAAATGAAACAAAAATCTCCTTTCCTACATGTCAGCTACAGGAATGGGATCAGTACACAGTTAGCCCTATCTTTCACACTTTAGGCATTTGATATGTCAGTTGAAGACCAAAAAACAACATACAATTCTCTATCATTGAAAAAGCATTGGCAAGGGCTCCTGGGTGGCTCAGATGGTTGAGCGTCTGCCTTCGGCTCAGGTCATGATCTCAGGGTCCTGGGAT